TACTTTATGAAATAAAATCATGGTGTATTTTGGTCAAAGGATGACGCTTATTTTTAAGTTGATTAAAGATGAATGTAAAAAAAATGATATGTATAAGAATATTCATTATGAACTAAATTACACGTAAGATAAACATAACTTTTATCACCTCGATTCTCGAATGAACCTAATTGTAAAATTAAATATGAAATCAGACGTTATCGTTTGTAGGTTGCAAGTATTTTTTACACGCAGGGTAAGTACGCCAGTATTGTCAATAGTGCTCATGTTTTTCAGCATTTCAAAAAAAAATTTAGATTTTTTCGAGGATTTGGTTGGATAATGGATAAAATCTAGCGTTCAGAATCATAAGCGCTTAACTTCGATGATCGATCCTTTTAATCTATTTTCTTTTTTGTTAATAAATCGGCAGGATTAACATTTATCGATGCGTTTGTTGGCATCTCTTATACGTGGTCACAAACTCGCTGTTGACTGAAAAAAGATCAAGAATCATGCTATCCATCAGTAAAAAATACAAATTATAATCTACAAAACCTGTAGAAATTATAATTATATAGTGTAACTTGAACTTACTGTTTCCTCCTTAGCAAAAGGGTACAGGTGATGCATTCGAAAACTGCCTCCTGCAGTACCCTTTTGAATATAATGAAGAAAATCTTCTTCCTGTACCCATTAGGGATGAAGTGGCACGCTGCCAAAGGTCACAGAACATTCTTCCCAATGGATTTATATTCCACAACTACTTAAAACAGTTCAATTTGTGCATCGGATAGTCAAACAATACTTTGTGGGTGGGTTAAAATGGTGATATTCACGGAAAATGCTATCGACCAATAGTGAGCAAATGTGGTTTCACGCACGCCCCGTATATCAATTAGAAAGTATTACCATCAATAAGGCCAATCTGAACACTGATCGGTTTATAAAGTAGCAGATGCTTAGGAGGAATTAACCAGCATTCCAGGATGAATTCTTTACAATTCGGTTCGGATTTGAATGCAATTCGGTAATTTTCAATTCAGCTGCACTTTCCAAGTAGCTGCGCCTTTAGCGACTGAGCTGAGGGAGGCCCACATATTTCAAATCACTTCTCTCAGATATTCTCTCCAACAGCAGGTTGATCCAAATTATTTCAAAGACCTTCAGATGAACAGACATCTCCAAAAGTCCTTAAATATTTGATTAATACTTCAGTCTGATCAGGTATCATTCCTTGAGAAATTCTTAGATCGGACCGAGATTCGATCCCAGCCACCTTCAGCATGGTCTTGCTTTGTACCTGTGCCTTTACCGATTAAGCTAAGGAAGGCCCCATCAACGAATCGAAGACAAAAAAACATGAGAGGAAGAGGTTCTAGGGAAGACAATGTTAGCCTCTCACACCGAGTTCAGATTGACGGTTGCGAAATCGAGGTGGTCGACAGAGTTGCGACCTATCACAATCACTATCATCAAACAGCTGATTGTAGTAACTCTTTGTACATTCCTATCAATGTTCTCGTCGAAGCTCTCTCCATGACCATCCATCAAGTTGACGAAAGAAGTAAAAAGCAACTGGTGAATCTCGTTTTCTGTTGTGATCCATCACCGATCTTGTCATTCCTGACAATCACGACACTCATCTGTGCTCGTTTTGAAGCAGTTGCTGCTTAGCTTGCTTATGTGAGTGTGTTGGTGAGTGAGCCCAACAGCTTCCGTTTAATGTTGCCTGCTTTGTTTGTAACTCACACACTCGCGCCTGCCGAGACGAACTTGGAATTCGAAGGCATTGTTTTAATTTTCTTCTGTCGTTTCGCTTTTTCTCATGATCGTACTGCAGAAGTCTTCACTATTTTCGTTATGCTTTTCATTATCAGCAGCGAGTGTAACGATTTGCTTGTGAGCAGCGATCATTACTGGTGATTGTTGTTTGCCATGGCTCTAACTCTCACTGCGTGTCAAAACGATCTGTAAGCGATAGTCGGTTGATGCGAAGACGAGTGTTACATGAGTGTCATGATATTTTGCATCACTGGTGGTCGATTAGTTGGTGTATTTGGGCGCACTGGTGACTGCCGAAAATGATACCAGCAGAGAAATTCAAAGACGCATTATGGCAGGGAATCGTGCCTACTTTGGACTCCGGAGGACGCCCCGGTCGAATACAATTCGCCGCCGCACGAAGTTGACTGTCTACAAGACGCTGAGGTGGTCCTCTTCGGCCACGAGACCTGGACTATGCTCGTGGAGGACCAACGCGCCTTTGGTGTTTTCGAACGGAAGGTGTTGCGTACCATCTACGGTGGAGTGCAGATGGATGACGGAACGTGGAAGAGGCGAATGTATTTAGCACGAATTTAACCAGCTGCTGGGAGTGCCACCCATCGTCCACATTGCAAAAATTGGGCGACTACGGTGGGCTGGGCACGTCGTAAGAATGCCGCACGACAACCCAGTGATAATGGTTCTCGAAAGCGGCCCAATAGGAAGAAAAAAAAAGAGACGCACAGCGGGCAAGTTGGATCAACCAAGTGTAAGGCGACCTGCTCCTTCCCAGACTACGAGGCTGGCGACGCACAGTGTTCTAGAACTGTGAAAAGACGGTCAAAAGTCAGTATCTCATGAATCTTGCATTTTAGACTAGTGGTGTCTTCAGGAAAGTTTTTAGATATAAAAGGCGCTTCTTCTGATATTGAAAAATCAATGATTAATCCTCCTAGAAGTGAGATTCAAAATTTATTTTTTCAAAAATTCCATACTAGGTATGGTGTCTTCGGCAAAGTTTTAGAAAATATCAAAACAAGAAAGTTTGCTGAAAACACTACACACAAAATTTATTTTTTCATTATCAGTAAAACGAATTGCTGGATCATGATCAGCAATCCAATGCTTTAGTGAAAAACAGCAAACGATATTTTTACCGAAAAAATCAGCTAACATAAACTAACACCCAGTCAAAGAGCTGTCAAACTATTAGCATCACAGTCGCAAGTATTTTTCATTCGGACACCAACCAAACGGTCAAACCGCAGCAGGAGGAAGAGGTAAAAAACTACAAATAAATAAAATTATGTAGGTAAGGACACTGGCTCAGACCGAAGACAACATATCAAGAAGACTGGCAACTCTTCCAGTACCTCGTACGACCGCTATGAGACAGGTTTAATTGCGTCATCTGCCGCTCAAAGGTAAATGCTTCGAACGAATGTGATAGCAAAGATTACATCCTCAGAAGAAAGGTTTGTGTATTTGCTCATTTTTCTATGCGTTGCTTCCACCTTCGCTCTAGTGCAGCGCTACTGTATCTGACGCTTTGATTCTGGCAAAGTTGACAGTCTTCTTGATATGATGTCTTTGCTCGGACACTGGTTATATTTAATAAATGATACTTGGAAAAGAGTCTGGCGATTTTATCTTTATTATTCGTATATTTGTATCAACGATCTTTACAGAAGCTGGAAGCTCATATAGTGAAAACAAATTCAATTTACTGCCTTTAATATTTTAATCAGCAAAATGCTGCCAAATGTCAGATTTTTGAATTGCTGAAAGATCAGTAAAGAAATATTGCTGATTTTTAGTAAAAGGTTGTCATTTTGACAGAAGTTGGAATTGCTGAAAAATTCAGCAGCATTATTTTGCTGGAACGTTAGCTGATCTTTCATCAAGTCTTAAATCAGCAAAATTTTGCCGATTCTCAGCGATTTACATTTGGTGTGTAGGTGGCTATTTCTGCAACTCATTGAAATATGGAACGTTTTTGGTGGAAAAACTCCTAATAAAAGTTTCTACTTAATAACTAATTTCTTTAAACTTCTACTGGTTTGAAATATTCTACACATTTGTTCAAAACATTGATATACAAGTTTGATGAATATCATAGCACACTCGCTAAAAAGGTGAGTTATTATTGATGTTGCTCCAAAAATGTAATTTTTAGCTGCATAATTACGATTTACTACCATTTATCACCACATGCTACGACAAAACCGAACTATTCAAGTGGGTTTTCTTCAAAACATTCAAAATTTATTGCAGAAACATGCAGAAACATCAATTACTATATACGTGAAATACTGTATGAAATGGGATGTTTCTATGGAAAACCCCTTAAAAGTGATTTTTTCCTTCATAAAACATTGTTTGAACCTTTACTGCTTCGAAGTAGTGTCCAAAACTAATCAAAACATCAGTATTCACGCTTTTTCTGAATGTGTGACTCCATTACATCAGCACCATGAATTAGTACAAAGTGTACTGATGATGTCATGTAGCACCAGGATTTTTTTTTTTCATACAGATGGGCAGTCTCTAGTGCGTTTATTCCGAACTTCTCGGTATTAATTTCGCTTTGATTTTGTCAAGATAGTGGTGGACAATGGTAGCAAAATTGCTATAAAATGGCAACAATATGTATTTTATAACAAAACCAAGAATAACTTGCCCATTTCAGAACCTATTGCGGTGGAATATTCAGAAAATGTGTGTATACTGATGTTTTGATTACTTTTTGGACACTACTTCGAAGCAGTAGAGGTTCAAAGAATGTTTTTTTTTAAAGAAAAATCACTTTTAAGTGATTTACACCAATTTTTGAAAACATAAATTTTGAATCTCACTTCTAGGAGGATTAATCATTGATTTGTCAATGTCGAAAGAAGAGCATTTTTATATCCAGAAACTTTCCTCAAGGCACCACTAGTTTAACATGCAAGATTCATGAGATAATGGCTTTTGACCGTCTTTCCACAGTTTTAGACCACTGTGCGACGTGTGGCCATAGGACGAGTAAAGTGGAGATGACTTCTTTGTACAGCAGGTTCCGCAGCACCGAAACAACGAAAATGTAGTGGGTTTTTTAATTTCCTATTTTAGGTACAAATTTCACTTTCGAATCACTAAATGAAATCATTGGACAAAACAAGGAAAACACGCAAATTCTAATGTATAAATAAATACAGTTTATTGATAGTCCTATCTAACGAAAACAAACACAGAAAACCCGACTCAGTTATCAGTATAGCGATGACGCACCTTAACCTCCCAGTGCATTCGAGAAGCCACTGGCCAAAGCGGCAACCTTCACGTTACCACTACTCTGAAAACTGGACGACGATCCAAATGATTTCGTAACCACCGTTCCATCGGGAAGTACGATCGTCTCGGAACCGGTGTTCGCATTCGATGCACCTGATCCAGCTTGCCCGGTGTTGACCGATTGGCTGGAGCCCGTCGATTTGGTTCCCTGCTGACCGTCGCTGTTGACGTATTGCTCATTGTTGGTCTGAGCCTGATTGGACTGGGTGCCATGTTTGTTCACCACCGAAGAACCGGCTCCACCTTCCGACGTTTGCCGCATGTTTCCGCCTTCCTTCACCGTGTTGGTGTTGGTGTTGGCATTCGACAAAAGCTGATGATCTTTGCCAAAGTTTGCCGACTGGCTTTGACCGGCGTTTTGATTTTGGAACCTATCCCCGGACTGCATCGTTTGCTGTTGAGTATTGGCCGCACTGAGCTGTCCACTGGAACCATCGTTGGCCAAGTTTGAGGAGACACTTCCCCCGGCAGTTTGCTGTGCCATTCCATGTTGGTTTACAATCGTTTGGGAACCCGTATTGGCAGCACTGCTTTGACTGTAGCCAGGTCTTTTACCAGTCGTGCGGTAAAGCTCCTGCTTTTCCTCCCATGTCAACTCTGAATCTGGTCGGAACACAATATCTGATCGTCTAATGCGAAGCGAACGTCCTTCTACGATGGCCAATGCCAGGGCGGATATCAACAATAGTTTGATCTTCATGCTTCTTTTGATTTGCAATGGAACACTTTAAAATGCGGTCTTCATTCGATGGAAAGTTATAACCGACTAAAGGCATCAACATAACAACCGTATCAGGTTATTAAGTTGGCAGCATCCACTCTGTGTAAGTAACACGACTCGCGAAACTCATTGGCCGGTAAAAGGTGTGCGATCATGAACCCATCGAGATGATGGTAGTGGTTGCGGGAATTCTCCAAACGGCACAGAGACTGATTGAATCCAGTTATGTTGTGCGGTGGTGTTTGTTTTGATGGTTGAGAATCGGATTCACTATCAAAGTCATTAAATGATAACGGTTCTAGTAACTGAACTTTAATGTGGGGCGAACATTGAAGCGTTCATAGGAAACATTATCACAGCGGGGAATTCCATGGAATTCGATTTGCCTGAAATAAGCGTGAATTCCTACGGGCAGGGTATTTGCCTGAAATAAGCGTGAATTCAGCAGCGAGGATTGATTTCAATGGATGACGTTATGTGAGATTTATAGCTTGGCTTCAACCATATTTAACGAGGTTATCAATCAATCTTAGGGATAATGTGGATGGCGGCGCCGGTGGTGTAGTGGTAAACGTGATTACCTCTCACCCCAGCAGACCTGGGTTTACTCCTAGTCAGCGCCGCCGGGATGTTCTGAGGCATAACATATCTGATCACCGTTGGTCCCCGGTTCATGAGTTGATGGGTCGATAGGTAGGGTCCAAGTGTGAGAGCTGCCTCCCTGGCGTTGGTAGCATTTGTGCTAAGCACGGAAAACAAGATCGACGGAAAACAAATCAAGGGAACAAAGGGATAATGTCGAGGGGCGCATACTTCCAGGTATGAGTGCGTGATATTTGAAATTCATGGTAGTAATTTAAATACTTTGAAGACAGGAATCATTTGAATTTAAATCCTTTCAGCAATATTGAAAGAAATGAACCAAGAATTACAGATAGCTATTCTAATTAAAAATAATTTTAATGCATTGAAAATAATTAAAATGTCAACGTTGTCGACTGTTATGTTTGTTATACATTTCAAAGGCTGACTAAAAGTAAATTGGTACGCCCCTCGTGCACCGCTAACACGCCTCTAGTGTTGGAAATCGAACATCTTTGACAGTAGATTGTTGATACTTCTATAGAGAACAACTGGTGCAAGTTTGATCAAAGTAGTCGATCGCGTTCAGAAATAACGTCAAATGGAACTCGAAAGAAGAAAAAATAGTGTGCACAAACAACTGGAAAATCCGTTATAGTCCGGTTCCAAGCTGGCTAAAGTGCTGAAGATAACGAAAACAACAGTTTTTCGAGTGCTGAAACCCTACAAGCAAACCCTGAGTGTGGAAAGGAATCAGTGAATCTACGAAAAAAGTAAGAGGTTGTATCCAAAACACGGCCGTAGATTTGACGTAAGATTACAATAGGTAGCTATGATGTCACAGCAAAAGTATGGTAAATATTAAATTGATTTCTTAGCTCGTTGGTAGTGAAAAATTTCGATAGGTTGAAATTCGGAAGCAATTAGAGAGTTCTGTTTTAAAGGTGCTCTGTCGATGTCCATGTAGTACAAACCAATCCTGGACGATATGTCTTGGGTTCAAACTCTTACTCTTTAGTTTTCTCTTTTATTAGTCCTTTGTGGTCCTGAAAAGGACCGATGGGTGGAAGCTTGGAAGCTAGTTAACCTTCTATCTATTTATTTATTTGTCTGCATCAACAGGCTGTGTATAGCCCCAAGGATGATTTAAGTAACTTATATAGGTAAATCAAAAAATAAAAACTAAGAATAAAATACATAAATAAAACACACAATCATTCACGATTAACTGTGCCAGAAAAGAACGATGAGAAGTATCTTCGTAGCAGCTGTCGAGGCAAATGGAAATCGAAGATGCCCAAGACTCGATTGAACACTTGTTGCAGCCCACCTATTGCACCGTTCATGCCATAGTTTGTGCGCTGAAGTTGCAATCTCAGCATAACGTTGTTACGTAGCACACGGGGTTGGACGTTAATGTTGACTTGCCCCAAGATTGCACTGCAATCAATTCTACCTTGTAAAGTGTCCGCAATGAACAGGGCCCTAGAGGTGCCTCTTCTAGTTCGGAGAGGCTCCAGATCAATCAGCTGGCAACGACTTTCATAGCTGGGCAGATGAAATGGGTCCCTCCAAGGCAGCTTCCGCAGAGCGAATCGAAGAAAACGGTGTTGAACGGACTCAACTCTCTCAGCACCATTGTTGTAGTTTGGACTCCAGACCACAGAACAATATTCCAGAATGGATCGCACCAAGGAACAGTACAGTGACTTCAAACAGTAGATATCGGAGAAATTCTTTGCTATCCTGAAGATAAATCCCAATGTCCTAGACGCCTTGTCGACAACGTACGAGATGTGCTGCTTGTAAGTAAGTTGAGAATCTAGAATAACACCCAGATCTTTCACATGGTTCACACGGTCGATTACAGTGCCGATAAGTTTGTATTCAAATGTGATTGGTTCTTTCTTCCGAGTAAAAGTGATCACTGAACACTTAGTGGGGTTAACCACCATTCGGTTCAAATTACACCAGCTGGCAAAGGCTTCGAACTGACGTTGAAGGAAGTGACAGTCATCAATCGAGCGGATTCGTAGGTAGATTTTAAGATCGTCTGCATACGATAGTCGTGGGCCTTCGATGACCAAGTTCACGTCATTGAAGTAGAGTAAGAAAATCAAAGGTCCCAGGTGACTTCCTTGAGGTATTCCTGACGTAGCTAGATAGATATTGGACCGGTTGTCACCAATGGCAACCATCAGTTGCCGATCAGTGAGATATGAACAAAACCATCGCAAGAGGTTGCCGCTGACCCCAAGTCTATGCAACTTGGCAATCGCGATGGCATGATTTAGCTTATCGAAGGCAGCTGACAAGTCGGTGTATATGACGTCTGTTTGAGTCCTCTCTGCCATGCTTTCCGTAAGATACGATGTCAAACACAGCAGATTTGTGGAAGTAGAACGACCGGAATTGAAGCCGTGTTGATCACCACTTAGATACTGCTTACAATGAGAGAGTAGAGGCTCCATGATGACTAACTCGAATAACTTCGAAACTGCACTCAACGACGTGATTCTACGATAATTGTCCACATCCCGTTTGCTGCCCTTTTTGTGGATAGGAAACATATGTGCGAATTTCCAACAAGATGGACAATCGAAATAGGTGAAGCATGGGCATCAGCAAGCTGGCGATATGCTTTTTCAGGAATACGGATGGAACGCCATCGGGTCCTGGATTGAAGGACGACTTGAGTTGTGATGCGGCAGTGGAAATCATCTCGACGTTGACATCCATCGCACCCAGTGTTTGCCAGAAAGTGGAACATTACTAGCTGCTAGGGTAACGTGTTCGTCAGTTAATCTCTCATTCGTGAAAACACTGGCGAACTTCTCAGAAAACAAGCGACAGATCTGCTGAGGAGTGGAAGCAACTGCTCCATTCAACACCATTGAAGAAGGTAGGCCGGATTCCTTGCGCTGCTCATTTACGTAATTCCAGAATGACTTCGGGTGCGACTTGAGTTTCCTCTGAATCCCTCGTTGATATCGCGAATAGCATCGACGGCTAACTCGCTTGAACTCATAATTGAGCCTAACGTAGTGACGTTTCAGCGAAAGCGTACGATACTTAGTGAATTTTTTTAATGCGGCTCTCTTGGTCGACTTTAACCTACGCAGTTCACTCGTCTGCCAGGGAGGATGAGAAATTTTACGGTGAACTCTTTTCGGAACGTGCCTGTCAATGACATAAGCCAAGACATGTGAAAATGTTTGCGCAGCGGTTTCAACATTATCAGGATCGAGGGTGCTCTCCCAATCTATACTAGATAGCACGTTGACGATACTACGGTGATCGGCTTTCCGGAAATCGTATGACACGGTCGTGGAAATGTCGTCAAAGACCCGATTGTGATTGTCAGCAACAGTGACAACCAAGGGAGGGTGATGATGTACTTGCTTTACTAGTGGAGAAGGTGCCGTGGAGATGAAAGGAGCGGTGTCCTGAACGCTAACGAAGCAGAGGTCCAGGCTACGGTTGTTTTCGTTGACTACGTAGTTTATTTGAGATAGTGTTGCTGTACTATAGCAGTCGAGAAGGCTAACTGATCTTGTATGAAATACAGAGTGTACAGTAGACTGATGCAAAATTTGAAATTTTCGCTCCACAGTGCTCAAACGGTTCCAAATTGGGTACTGATTAACCTCCCAAAATTTGAACTACTTTAGTAAGAAACTGACTTGGCACAAACCATTTCAAGTTTATATGGAAATTACTATGGGAAAACTTAGGTTTTTGTTGATACCTATCTAACAATTCACCACATCATTATGCTTTAAAAAGTGATAGTAGTGATTGTAGCAAATTTGATCAGCTACATCTTTGTTGAAACCCATTTTTCAATCAAATGTAAGGAACAAAAGTTATTAATGATTCAAGTCACTGATGTCTTATGATTATGCTCATTCAACTGTTCAGCAGGCGACAATGGTGTTTCTGGTGCGAAAAATAGAGCACAAATATCATGGCTACTATGTCACACTGCAGAATACAGTGTTGCCCACAGAACAGCTGCTTCATCATGCCATAAGATTATCAATCTCTTAAACAATTAATAATTATTAATTTTGACATTTGACTGAAAAACGATATTCCGCAAAGTTGTAGCTTAAAAAATTTTGCGTAAGAATAATTATAGAACTTTCCAAAAAAGCAATATGGAAATTGGGTAGAAGACAATGAACAAAACGTTAAGTTTTCCCATAGTAATTTCCATATAAACTTCGAATGGTTTGTGCCAAGTCAGTTTTTTACCAAATGAGTTTAAATTTTGGGAGGCTAATCAGGACCTGATTTGGAACCGTTTGAGCACTGTGGAGCAAAAATTTCAAATTTTGCATCAGTCTAGTGTACAGGGTCTGGGTAGAGAACAATACTGTAGAAATTTTTCCTCTTTGTTTTTGGAAATGAAAGCAGTGCAGAAATGAAATATGCAGGGGAAATGGATGTAATGTCGGCCTAAATGCCCCTTATTTGGGCC